GGGCCCCTCCCCCCACCCCGGGCTCCAGCAGCCCGGGGAGTGGCTGGCGCCAGCTGCCTGCAGCTGCTGGGCTGCACCGTGCTCTACCTGTCCTCACTCATCTCTGCTCCTGGGTTCCTGGGCAGCTGGCACCAGCCGCTCCCAGGGCTGCTGCAGCTGCTGGGCTGCACTGTGCTCTGCCTGTCCCCACTCACCTCTGCTCCTGGGCTGCGCCATGCCCTGGTGCAGACAACTGGTGTCAGCTGCTCCCAGGGCCTCTGCAGCTGGGGTGAGTGGGGCCATGGCGCTTTCCCCTCCCTCCACAGACTTACCTGGTTGGGCAGGGGTGCATCTGTGCTGATCGCATAAGAGTGAATTTACCTCGCGTATAACAAATTATGGGTCTAAATATGCTCATCAGCTAAGAGCAAATTCACCTATGTGGAACTCGCATAAATTGAGAGAAACCTGTAAATCCTTTTTATTTGTATACGTTTTGGGAGTAAGATCAATAGTTATTCATTCAAAATGGAATTTAATTTTTGGGGGAGGTTTTTTTGGCATAACACTGATAACACAATGCCAGAAATACTTTTATATGGAACAACAGACAGTTCAAGGACCAAAATATTTAGCTGTTTGTTTAATTTAAATCAGTTTTTGGATCTGTATTAAAGCTGTTATGAAATGCGTCTTTTATTGCTTAAAGCTGCAGATTACATTACTTACAAGTTCTCAAAGTCAGTTCTACTAGTCATTTAATTAAGGCTAGCATGGTCAACCAGCTTCTATGTTTGAATGAAGTGTGAATCTACTGGTCGGCCAAAACTACACTACTGTAGTACACATCATCAAATGCATAGAAAAATATTCTACAGAATGAAAATACTGAAAATGACCAACCAGATCACAAAATGTAAATAATTAAAACCAGGTCATATGGTTTTCATTAACATGTATTTAAACACTAAAAATACCGGATTTTTGAGTTGTCAAAAACTTCCATGCTTCAGTTATGTTGCAATTAAAAACCTTCATTCCTGAGATCTTGGCATTTTGTCTTCCTGTTAAGGCAAGAAAAGAATGTCCACTAAACTTCCCTTTTCTCAGTAGCTAAAACAGCCACATATGACCTGCAGCAGAGAGCGCAAAATGTAAGGCGGTCAGAAAACTTAACAAAAATAGCAAGGGATCATGTTAAATTTAATTGCTGCATGTATTTTATCCAGAAGCCAAGTCAGTCAGTTGTGGGAGGGGACAGTCTGAAATAAAAATACTTTTTTATTTGTTGGGAGATCCCTGATAGGAGCACCCTGTGATACTTTCCACAAAGTCTGAGAGATGAGATTAGAAATAGAAACTCTGTATTGGATTAAGAGGGGAAAAAGGAAGGTCAAGAGAAGTCAAAGTGGCAGCACTTAAGTTCTTTTTTAAGGACTACCTTTTTATAGTTTTGCATCCTTTCTCCACCAGTCTCTGGGGGCACCTATACACATGCTGGACATCTGCTCTGATGCACGCTAATTAGCATGCATTGAAGCATACTTGATTAATCGAGTCTGCTGAAGCATGCTAATTAGCATGCTCCAGCAGTCTCTGCGCTACATGTATTTAGTGTCCCTGCACTTTAAAATAGCGGTGGGGGGCACTTCAGCTGAAGCTTGTTGAATGAGCTTTAGTTAGAGTGCCCTGCTGCCATTTTGAAGTGCAGAATGTTGAATGCACATGATGCTGCAGGCGCTTTAATTACAGTGGCTCTCAGAGCTGCTCTAATTGGAATGCCCCCCTGCGCTCACCCTGGAGCATGTGTAAAGACACCCTGAGAGTTGTAAACCAAAGTACTCCTGAGCCATAGCCGAAGGATATCCTCTCACATGAAGTTACCCAGAAGTCTAGTTTCTCTTAGTCTAGAATAAAGATCAGCAACGTTTTTGACCAGAGTGCCAAAAACACCCCAGCCTCGACCCAGTCCTCCACATGGCGTGCCAGAGGCAGATGGCAGGGAAGCCGAGGGGCTCGATCCTCATTGCTGGCAGGAAGTGCACGCACACCTCCAGGCAGGTGCAAGTGGGGGGCAGTGTTGTACTGTCCTGGCTCTTTCTCTGCCGTGTGTCCCAAGGTGTGCATACACCTGCCACCACCATGAAGCTGGAGCCAGGGCTCAAAATCCCGGTACTGCTGTTTGCAGCCTGCCCGCCACCTGCTGCAGCTGCCCAGAGCCCCAGCTGCTGGCTCCCACCACATGTCCCATGCTGGGCTGAAACTGCTCCCGCAGCATGGGGCATGCGGTTGGGGCCACAGTCATGCCTTGTGTGTACCTTGAATGGGATCCAGCCAGCAGGAAGCCTGTAGTCCAGGTCTGGCTTGGGGTACAATGCAAGTTTGATACCTTTAACTTTGCATACTTATGTATACATTTTTTTACCAGCTTTCAGAGAGGCAAATTGGTTACAGTACTGAGGGGAGAGTTAAAATATGTTGCCCTTCTGTGTTATCTGCTGGAGTAAGTTTCCATATAGTTACCAAAAAAGTTGTGGTCATGTAAGAGTGACGTTGTAGTATTGATGGTGCATAAATTATGCAAGAGGCAAGGATTTCTTAGGATGATATCTTTTATTGTACCAACTGTGTACAATAATGCAAGACATTCTTTTTCAGCCAATCACTGTGCTAACTTCAGGACCTGAAGAAAAAAGTTTTGCATTTGAAAACTTGTCTAATGCTACCCTAGCTATATAGTTGGTCCAGTAAAAGCTATCATCCTAAGAAACCTCATGCCTCTCGCAAAAAAAAAAAAAAGTGCAGTAATTGAAACTTACCCGTGGTCCTCCAAGAAAAGTCGGTGCTCTTGTGTATAAATGTTTCCAGATTGTGAAGATGAAAAATATTCAATTTTTCACTTCAAGAAGTGAAACCTCAACTTTGTATTTCTTGACATAACATCCCGTTGAACAATTTAGAATCAGTATTTCACCCATTTGAAGAAAAAAAAAAAAAGCAGTTTTTTTAGCCATAGTTATTTATGCTAGAAAGTTTTTGGAGTTATTTCTGGTAGCTATCTTCTGAACAGCTTTATTTTTCTTTCAAAATCTCTAACAAAATAGCCCCAAGGGCAAGATATTTTCCCTAAGTCTCAGAATATCTTCTTTGCTGTCATTCTAGGCCCCCAAATCTATGGAAATGTTCAGGATCATTTGTAGAACACACACCATTTCTAGATCAGTTTTGGATGTTTCTAAAAATAATAAGAAAATAACCACTTACACAGTAATAAGTAAAAAGCTGAGGCTAAAAAAAAATCTTTCTTTAGTTGTCCAATAAAAAGCAGCCTTAAATTGGAGAAATCTCTCTTCTGACATGGAGGTGTGAAAGATATTTTAAGTGATAACTTTATCCTGCCAAAATGTTGAGATTACTGTCTGACTTGGTTTTATTTCAAGATGTCTCTTCTCTTTCAAGTTTGAAACTTTAGAGGGATAAACTTTTGCCTTCACTGCTTCTTAGTGTTGACTGGAATAACTAATATACAGTAAATATGAAACAAATTAAATAGAGACACCAAAACAATTTGGAGAAAAATTTGTTTATCATAAAATTTACCATATATTCTCATGTAACATGTACCAGAATGTAATATTCACCTTAATTTTGAAAGTCAGAATGGAGAAAAAAATATATTTCTATCGTTATGGCTGCATAGCTAAGCCTCTTCCACCTACTTTTCATCTGACTTGCCCTCTCTTTTTCCTGCTTAACTAAAAGGCTAAAACACTAGCTCCCAGTGAAGACTGGTGTCCATGGGTGGATCTGTGATTTTTTTTATTTTTTTTTTTAAATGGGTCAAATAATCTCCAGGGCTGTGAAGTAGGAGAAGAGTGACATAGGAGCAGCTAGCAAATGGCAAAATTGTTGTAAGGAAGGTTGGCATGATTAGTGGAACATCAAGTCCCTTTAAAAAGGATAGACAATCATTAACACCTGTGGTGTGAAGAACAGTGAGCCATTAGGTCAACTGACTCCCTCAACTGTCCAGATAGTAATGCCATAGCTGCTGTCTTGCAGACCAGGAATCAAAGCAGGGTGCTTGCACCTTGGTTAAAACAATCACCTTCCCTGGTTAATACACACACCGTAATTTTGGAGGGCTGACTTTTGATGGAAACTTGTTGTACGTGAGGAAAATACGGTAATCAGTAGGGATGTGCAAAGCAAGCCGTATTCGATTTGGATTTGGCCCAATTTGGGGGACAGTAATTCAGTTCATTGATTTGGAACACTGTCCTGATTTTCATTTCGGCTGAATCCGAATACCCCCCCCCCTGCGGCGGAACCACCCCCCCCCCCCCCCCCCCCCCAAAACGCTCCTGTGGGATGCTCCGTCCGCTCAACTACCTCAGTATCTCAGCGTTTACAAGCTGCCTGGTGCCTTGAGGTAAGTAGGAAAAACATTTAAAGCTGTGTCTTTCCAAATCTCTCCGAACCGATTCGGAGGGTTCTGATTCTGTTCAGAGAGATTAAAGGGCCTCCTGATTCGAATCTCATTTGGAGATTCGGCTGCTGAATTGGGCCGAATCTTTGCTGAATCGAATCAGCGACTGAAGCTTCACGCAGCCCTAGTAATCAGATCTAGGCTTGATATAAGTAATAGATCAAAACTAATCTACAAAATGGTACATAAAAACAATTTATCAAAAATCCACTTTGAATCATAGACTAACCATACATTTTGATATTGAAATTATAAATCGGTGAACTGTGTGTGTGCCCACGCGCATAGTAGAAACAGATACCATTTTACATTTTTTTTTCAATTGTTTTTGTCCTTTAGAAGCAGCATTGCGAGGTCTGTTGGGAGCCCTGACAAGCACTCCATATTCGCCAACCCAGCACCTGGAGCGAGAGCAGGCTCTTGCTAAGCAGTTTGCAGAAATTCTTCATTTCACACTCCGATTTGATGAACTCAAGGTACATTCTTTGGTTTGAAGAAAGGCAACGACCAAAAGGAAGCCAGATTAGGGTCTCTTCCACGTACTGCCACAACCTGTCTGTGACATTGGCTACATTTCTTAACTGTTCTGTTTTACAGATGAGGATCTAGTCCCATATTTATTTCAGATGTTTGCTAATATTTGAGATACTTAAAAACCAGTGGGCTATAGGTCATGAAAAAAGATGAAACGTTTTCTATTATGAAAATCATGGAACTAAGTGCAACTGTTTAAATATCACTGGAATGTGGCAGTGCAGTGTGGGGACATGGGTATGAGGTTTATGCACACAAAGATGGCTTAAAGCTTAACTTTTGAAGTCTCCTAGCTTTATCTAACTCTGTGCAGGCTTTCCCTTAGTCTTATTAAAGCATCAAGCTAGAGTAGCCACAAGGAACTGAAAATTCAGCAGAGAATTAGAATCTCATACCTTCTCATTGAGCCATGCCCTTTTTCATTAGATGCCAGCAGAAATGAAAGTGGAGTGTTGACAGATTTAAGAGCCCTGTAAATTGGCTCTGTGCCAATCTACATTTCTGCTAGATTAAAACATATACTTAGGGTAGAACTTTAAATCCTTATTTTACTTATAGGTAGGTAAGTAGAAACAAGATAAGCTCCCACAGGCAACTACTATCTCTGATTCTGTTTGTACCACGGTTTGAACAAAAGAGCCATTCCACAAAGTCCCTAGTTGCTGTCATACAAGGAATAAGATATAATAGTTCTCTTGTCTCCTGGGTCGAGGAGGGTGAGTGGGGTGGGGGATGAGGACAATAGTCCAAAAATACCTATTTGACTTTTGGCTTTTTAGAATAATTAGTTAGGCCCCAAATCATTCCTGGTCACAGAAAAAAATAGTTGCACAGCTGAGTGTATTTTCTAGGTATGGGATTATTGTGCAGTGTTGCTAAACCAGGCAACCCCATGGCATAAACATACTTCTTCATTACAGCGTGAGGCTTGTCTCACAGTGATTTACCTCCTGGAGTAAGTAATCCCATTGCAGGAAAATGTGCAATGGCAGCTTGCTGCCTTTTTCCTGCACGTGCTACACTTCCTACTCCAGACCCATCCCTGATTCCAGGAAAATTATATTTTGTGTACAAAACTAACATTTGTGGGTGTGAACAGACATACCACTCAAACTGTTCCAAGAAAGTCCCTGGTTAGAAACCAAGCGGTCATTGTCCCAGGTCAGAGATGTCTTCACATACATTGCTAAGGGTTCCAAGGACAATGTTCCCCGTTTAGGTATTGCAGTGCCACCAGCAGGAGGTAGTAGTAGTCTGTACTCAACCCAGTTGCAATTTTCTGCTCCCCTTTCTCTCTCTGAAATCTCTGTGGTGGTACCTTGACTAGAAGTCTCCAGATTTGTGTGTAGGGCAGGGGACCTGCTGAAGGGCTAGGTGCTCCAGAGCTATTGTGGCTTTTAAAGACACTTTCTTCTAATCCACTCATCAATTTACTTCAGTTCCAGGGAGCTGGCCCAGGGTTCAGTGCATCCCAGGCTGATTTGGTGGGGGAGTGGTCAGGAAGAAGCTGTCTGGACCACTGCTTCTGTGTGCCTAGGGCTGGGATTCTGGGGCCCCAGCTCCTTGAGCAGTTCTGCTAATTATAAGAGTTAGTCGATTTCCTTCCATTGATTTACAGTGGAATCCTTTAGATGGTGCCCCCCCACTTTGGATCAGCGTGATCGGCTGGGGGGGCGGCGCCCCCCCCCCCCCCCCCCCCCAACTGGCTGGTATGTCCGGACCCTTGCAGTTTAAATTGCATTTAAACTAGTCTGTATGGCAATCCCCGCACACATGCCGTTAGTGGCACACAGAGACATTTTTCCCGGCATGCCAGGAGGCACACACAGAAATTGGTTTTTTGGGGGTTTTTTTGTAAGTTGCTGCTCCGGGCTGTGGAGCCACAAGTCCCACCGGGGCGGAGCCAGAAGAATGCAGGCAGGGAGGCTGTCTGTGCTCTACTGCCCCTTGCTCCCCGGCTGCGCCCTCCAGCCCAGCTGGCCCCTGAAGGGAGCTATGTATGCAGGCAGACACCCTGTCCCACCTAGGGCAGCACTGAAGTGCCGAGTGCTGGGGGGCCGGGCAGTTGGGACAGGGTATGGGTGGCGCGGGTGGAGGCACTGCGGGCAAGCCAGCCCGGTCAAGCCCTTAGAAAGGTGGGGGCTGGGCAGGAAGTAGGGGCTGCCCTGGGGCTGTGGTGGGCGGGCAGGCGGGGATGCCCAGTGGCATCCATGGTGGAGCTTGGCCCGGCCCGTGCAGCTCCTCAGGGATGGGCTGCAGCCACCCTGCGCACGTGACGATGCTGCCTGGCTGGGGCAAGACGCCGGGCTTGTGGGGCTTTCCTCCCCGGAATCGGCCTCCTTGCACGCTGGGCAAAACGCAAGCAGAACAGAGCCATCCCCGGTGCAGGGGCCTGGCTGCAGGAGCCCCCTGGAGCTTGGGAACAGCCACCACGGCTGCCTCGGCCTGCCCGGGTCCCAGCCTTGCCCACCCGCAGCTCCCCTCAAGGGGCCAGTGCTAGGGCAAGCACTGCGCAGAGCCTCTGTGCTGCAGGCTCCCGGCTGGCTTGGCCCTGAGCACCGGCTGCTGCAGCTGTTCCAGAGCCCAGGAAACCGCCTGTGTCTGCACCCCCTACTCGCAATGTACCCGGCGCACACACAGACCAAGCAGGGAGCTCCCTGAGCCCTGCCTCCTGCCCCAGCCAGGCAGCATCCCTTCATGGGCAGGGTGGCTGTGCTCCATCCCCATGGAGCTGCGTGGGCCAGCTGGGCCCCACCTCCAGTGCTGCTGGGTCACCCTCACTGTGGCCTGAGTAGTGGAGCCCTGCCTGACCCCAGCTCAACTCCAGCTGCAGCTTTCCCAAGGGCCTGGCCAAGCCAGCCTGCCTGAAGACACTCCCCTGGTGCCTGCTGTTCCCTGCTCCTCTTTCCC